GATGGATGGATGGATGGATGGATGGATGGATGGATGGATGGATGGATTTTTATGAAACTTTGAGAAAACGTTTATTGTATCACTTTTAGAGTCAAACTAATTCAAGATGGCCGCCAGCGATAATATCCAACAAACTGACGATAAGTTTGTCAGTTTTACAGATATAGAGCCAAACATTTTTCTATGGATCATGTCGTGGTGTGACATCTCACAATATCTTATTATTGCTTATGATGTCATTGCAATGCTTGACTCCAACTGTGTCATTTCGTGGTGAGATCTTTCCAGAGTTGGTCTTTTGCAAATAAAACTCACCTGTTGCAAAGTTAAACCATTTTACAGACTGTTGGTGTATAAACCCGCTCCCTGCTGCAGGTTTCTCATTTCCCGATGAGTTCTCAAAGTGATGCACTAATCGTTGCACAGTGATGCTAATATTGGCACCAAGAGGAGAACAGTTTGTTCTTTTTTTAATAACAAGACTGTCGCTGGCTCACTTTGTGTGTATTGTTGTTTTCCATGTTCTTTTTTTAGATTTTCTTTTTAGAAGATGTGATGAGGAGAAGAAACGTGACTTCAGGCAAAGAGGAGCGGGAACGTGCTGCTCAGATGAATAAAAAAGGGAGGGATTGATGAAGTAGCAGATCTGAGGGAGTGACAGAAGAAGAAAGAGGGAGGGAAAAGAGGAGAATAGAGAGACAGAAGGACTCAAGTCCCACTTTCCTCTCCTTTCTTTCTCCCATTGACTCCAGAGTGAGATCAACAGAAAGGTGAGTTTTTAATTCTCTTTGTTTCACCTTTTCTTACAGAATGTCTTCAGTTATATGAAACTTGTTTTTTAGTTTTATTTCTTTTTACTCCAGTGCAACTGTTCTGCACTTGCTGTTGTGTGGACTCACCTTTCTTCCAACGCATTATAATTTCAGACCTCATTAGTCGGAGGTGCAGCTCCAGCATGCACATACTTGCAATGTAAGAAAAAGCATGCGCCGCAAAATATAACTAACCCTTAAATTGATGCATTTTAAATTTTTACTCCTAATCTTTCAGATCTCATCTTCAGGTGGTTCGTTTTCACATCTGTGAGGCGCTGAAGGTTTTAAAAGTAGATCATTGTTTAATTTGTCATCGTTCCCAAACCAGAGCATCGCTGCTTTATGTATGTGTGAGAACATTTTTATGGCAGTGTTTATTTGCTTTTGTGTTCGTTGGCTAAATACAAGCAGCTAAACTTGAGGGTTTGTGGAAAGATGGAGTTTCCGTTGGCTGGATGGAGAGGCTACTTTTAGCTTCGGTCATCACTCCCTGTGCTGGTCCAGACGGTCTCTCAGCTCTGACTGTCCTTTATATGACACATTATTTTAAAGGGATAAAAATCATTTAAAAAAAGTCCATAAATCTTTCATTTCACCATAGAGTGGTTTTAAAGAAAGTTTCTAATTATACGTTTGCCAGGGTGTGGAATGTGAGTTCCATGTCTGCGTGTGATTGTTGGGATTTTTGTGGCGACATGGTGCGTTTTTATTTGGGGTCTCCAGCTTCGGCGCTTTCTCCTTTTCAATGCCGCATTTTCAGTCAGCCGTTGCGTCTTTTCCTCATTTTTCTTTTGTGTCCCTCCAGGATGCTGCCTCTCGGCTCCCTGTCCGCGCTCCTCGTCCTGCTCCTCCTCTGCCCCCCTCAGCTGTCCGCGCAGGACCTGCAGATACGTCTGGCAGGACAAGGTCGGCGAAGTGCAAACGAGGGCCGTGTGGAGATCTTCTACGATGGCTCGTGGGGCACGGTGTGCGACGATGATGTGAATATTAACCTGGCAAATGTCCTGTGCAAGCAGCTGGGCTTTCAGCGGGGCCTCACCTGGGCCCACAGTGCCAAGTTCGGCCAGGGACAAGGTACAACCAGAGAAAAATAACTCTTGAGCTTCTGATTCTTTATGTCTCTTCATTTCTTACTCTCTGCTCCCTGTTCTTAGGTCTGATCTGGTTGGACAATGTGCGCTGTAAGGGCACAGAGCTCTCTGTGGCAGAATGCCATTTTAATGGTTGGGGAATCAATGACTGCACCCATGCTGAGGATCTAGGGGTGATTTGTAGCTCAGAAAGGAGACCCGGCTTCCCTGACGTTACTCTAGAAGAAGCACCTTCATCCCCATGGCAACAGCCAAACCAACAAAGAAGTCCAGCACCATCGCAGTCTCTGTCCCCTGCAGCTCCACCGGCTCCCCCGGCAAACATTCCCTCAAACCCCGCAAGAGGCCACGAGATCGCCCTTCATCGCAACCCATCCACCTCCTATCGCAGCAACCTCTCCCCTCGGGAAAACGGCCACGAGATCCAGATCCTGAGGCGGAATCGAGGAGGTTCAAGAGCAAACTACCAGAACAGGCCGGCTTTGCCGCAAGGACACCAGCTGCCCTCGCGCCTGGCAAACATCGAGACCTACAGGCAGAGACAGGAGACGATGAGGACCGGTCCACAGGCGATGAGACGGGAGGCAGAAGGGCAAGGGAACGGGGAGCCACAACCCCCAGCTCTCTCCCAGATCCAGTCTGAGAGGAGCAGCGACAGGCACCAGCAGTTCAGTGGGAACCACGTCGAAACAGATCCAGTTTATCCAGACATGGACCTGGAGACTGACACACAATACGCACAGGTAAAAACCGGCAACACACCCAGTCTGGTTTTGTAGGGACTTGAATAGAAACATCAGCTGTGCTCCTACAGCCAAGTGGGCATCTATAATTAGAGATGTACCTAAAACCTCAAACTTCTCAAAACCCAGTTCCTCTGCACCAGAAGGAGCTAAAGTTTAGTTGAGTTCAGCGGCTCATCTTCTTACGGAAACATCTCAGATCACAGGAAACCGACCCATTTATCACTCCTTTCCACTTGCAGACATCACAATTTCTCACTATTCTGTATACATCCTGACACGTTCCACAAACTCTGCCTTTGCTGTTTGTTTCCTTCCTGCTGTCCGCTGCACGACACGCCGATGATTAGAGGCTACGATGATCAAAGCGTGTCATCTTCTGTTATTCTAGTCTTGATTGCGTGCTGTCCGCTGCCCTTTATTCAAACAACGTGACAGTGTGTCGTGTTAGGAGAGCCGTATCTTATCGTCCCCCACATTCTGCATCACAAAAGCTAGATTAAAGTAGCTCACATCATTTAAAGTGGGGTTCTGTGGAACGGTTATAAACAACTTTCAGCTTGTTATAGATGTCTCGTTGAACCACCTCAGTTTGGAGAAATAAATCTTAATTCTGACCAGAGCTATGAGCTGATTGTCGCTCATCTCACAAGCTTAATAGCAGTTTATGCAAACGCACTGAATTTTATAGTTAATTACACAATCAAAGAGAGGCGGCGGCAGCTAGCTGTAACACTTCCAGTGCAATATGGGGCGCTTTCATTGAGAATGCTGTAATGTTTTTAATATGTATACATTAATGTTTGCATGAACTTCTATAAATATTCTAATTCACTTTGGCAGTTGTTGACTCAGTCAAAATGAAATGAATTCTGCAAAGTGAAGTTGTTGGCGGAGATATCTGCAGCTGGTAAGATGTTAATTGTTCATAGCTGCTTCACATAACCTCACTTTAGATGATCAGGGCAAAGACAAAGTCTTAAAAAAAGGATGAAAATCCCTGTTGGCAACCTTCCAGTGCACACCTAAATGATTAAAGTTAACGAAGGTTCACCTTTAATTGCCTCTTTGAACAACTCTCTCATGGACAGGGTTCTGAGAGGGCCCACTTAGAGGAGGCTCGTCTGCGTCCAGTCCTGTCCAGCAGCCACGGTGGTCTCGTGACAGAGGGAGTGCTGGAAGTGAAGCATGCTGGGAAGTGGCGTCAAGTGTGCAACCAGGGTTGGGACTTGAGCAGCAGCCGAGTCGTGTGTGGCATGTTGGGATTTCCTGAAGCCGAACCGTTGGACCAAACCCCCTACAGGTACGTATGAGAAACTGGACCGGGCCTGAGCGAAAGAGGGGATGAAACGAACAAACCGCCAGTCGTTTATGTATTTATGAAAAGGGTGAAAATGTTCTAACCACTTCACATCCCTTCACAGAATAGGCAGCCTCTGGTCTGAACTGCTGGTTCAGCTCCCGCTGTAGTAGAGGTTAGCCAAAACAGCTGTCATTACTGTAACCACAGCTGGCATGACTCGTCCACGATGGCATAATCCTGATCCAGCTGTCCGCCAGGTCTGCCTCCTCCATCCTCTGAGTGGGCCTTGGCTCACAACTCTAAAATAGTTCCTGAAAGTATATTATTAATGTCCCATCCAGACTACAAGATGATCATCTTACTCCTGGAGTGTGTCTTTGAGTGAAATCTAGCTTTCAGTACTTGGCTTCTAATCTCATATAATTAAGAAACATCCAAGTAAAATTGCGCTTAGCAGCATTTTTTAAATGATGGGTCCACCGAGCTGTAGATAGAGGCAGTTCATTTTAATTTATTTATGTAGAATCAGGTTCTAGGAATACAAAGATTCATTTTAAATGACCAAATATGTATTCAGCAAAGTTCAGTCAGGACATCTGGATGGTTACTTTTTTTATATTTTGTCGAGATATTTCGTCCTTCATCCAAAGGACTTCATCAGTCCGAGGAGCCACAAACAAACTCAGTCCTACAAGCAGCACACTCACATAGTGGGCCAACCAATTTGCTGGTGATAAGATGGTTTCTGGGGCCCGCCCTCTCCCCTGTCGACTCCTCTGAGGCAGCCATAGCTAAAGTAGTTCAAAACATCAAAGTCCATGCTCAATAATCCAGGTAACACATCCAACAACGTTCACTCAGGTCATCTGGACAGTTTCTTTTTTTTTTTAGATATTTCGTCCTTCATCCAAAGGGCTTCTTCAATCCGACAGGGGAGAGGGAGGGCCCCAGAAACCATCTTATCACCAGCAAACTGATTGGTCCAGTATGGGAGTGTGCTGCTTGTAGGACTGAGTTTGCTATGGCTCCTGGGATTGAAGAAATCCTTTGGATGAAGAGCGAAATGTCTGAACAAAAATAAAAATAAACCATCTAGATGACCTGACTGAACTTTGTTGGATTTTTACCTGGATTATTGAGCTGAAAAATATGTAGTTTAATTTTGTCCAATTATTTACTGTCTTTATCGATTTTCTGTAAGAAACCCTGTCTATATTTACGCTCCTACGTTGTAATTAGCCTTTCTTCCACCAATAGATCACATAACAAACGTCAAAAGGACAAATTAGCTTACTTTCTGTTAAATGTTTTGGATTTTAAATCTGTGTCACTGTTTTGTTCTTAAATCATGCCTTTAAACAGCAAACATGCAAACAGTCGGCTCTCATATTTATTTATTAAGTAGCTGAAACTTCAGCTTCAGCTTTTTGGTAATACAAACGTATTAAAAAGGGAATATTGGATCTACGTTCATTATATTATTCATTAGGTCATTAAAACTGCCTTGTTACAACTAAAAATAATTTCATAAATTGTTCAATTTATGTTTGTAAATCAGCTTCAAAGGTTTTAAAGTACTCCGTAAAATACAAAATTAGAAAAAAAAAAAGAGTCAACTTTTATTTATGAGTATCTCTGAGGTGACGTGTGCTTTGTAGCTAAATTTCATATTCATTGTAACTATCCATCCATCTTTTATCAACACACTTTTAATTTTCTGGGTTCACTGATGCCCATGTCCAGCTGTGCCAGAGGCGGGGTTCCCCATGGACATGTCCCAAGTCCATCCAAGTCATAGCCACTAGCTCATGTTTTACATTTAAAGTGTCCATCATAGTGCAACGTGAAACAAAAGCTATTATCTCACAAGTTGGAGATAGTTACAGACTCAAAACTACTCACAACTCACTGGCGACATGTCAGGAGTCTGAATACATGTTGCACAAACGTCTGGCAACATTCTCACGGCAAAATGGTAAAATTGTGATTGTCACTCACTAGTTGTTCGCAGCTCTCGTCTATGTCTCGCAGCAGAGGCACGACAGCTGAGAAATGTGTGAGCTGTTACGAGACAGTCATAAATATTCAAACACAACGTTTCCAAGACAGCCACATACATAGAAACTTTGTGCCAGTAAGAATCCACGTTGTTATGTTTATTTTGGATGTATCTCATCTTTCTTACTACTGTAATGAACTTTAAACACTTTTAATGGACTTATTTTTTACTATATCTTTTAGCAGGAAAAACTAATAAAATGAACAGAAACAGTTTGTAAATAGCGCTCTAGATTATGGAAACTAAATTGAGAGGGGTTCGAGACGGGTTCCAGATGCCCGTTGAGACAGCAGGTGTGTGGGGGGAAGTGGGGTTTGAATCACAAACTTTTACTTTTCTGTGCTTCAGCACGCAGTCATCTTTTCATAAGTCCTCATGTCTGATAAACAAAACTCATATCATCCATCAGTTGCATTGAGTAGTTGCAGTATATTGATATTTTAGGTGTTTAACTCTTAATCTGTCTAAACTTAGGCCTGAATTTCCACTGAAGCACCTACGCAAATTTTCAAAGCCCTCACAAACATACCATCAAAAACCCAACACCTCGTCTGCGCCCACATGCTAATACATCCCAAGCTATTTCCAAAACTACGTCCATGTGCACACACAAATACATACACACAAACTCATGCACAAGCAAACACAACCCTGTGTGTGTCCGTCTGCCCGCAGAGGTCTTTTTAGGGCTCGTCTGGCAGGACGACTGTACTGACCGACCGTCTGCAGAGTAACATCTGTCTGTGTGTGTCTCCAATAATTACCTCTTGTGTTGTGAAGAGCAGGACCTGAGCTGCTTCTCCTCAGATGCCCCATGTAGCGGTAAAAAAGTTAACATAGTGGTCCGTTTGTATCTGTGCTGCCATCTTGACCAGGACTCCCTGGAAGAAGAAAGGTTGTATCTCAGTAGGACTTTAAGGAAAACAAACAAAAATAATATTTTCTTAACACGTGTTGTGAGAAGCGTTTGGTAATTTTGTATTTTTTACTGAAAGGTTCATTACCAGAGCTTAAATTCAAATTAAAACTAGAGAAACTGCATTTTCTGTGAAAATGCAGTGTGAATGCTTATTGCAAAAGAACTTGCTGGAAAAACAGCTAAAATTTGCTAAAAAAAAAAAAAACACGCTGAAATTAACTGAAATTAGCTGAAATTAGCTGAAATTAAAGAATAGGGCTAAATTAGCAGAAGAAAGAAGACATATTTGCTGAATTGGTTTAATTTAGCAGAAATAAGCATAAAAAATAGGAAATCAGCTAAAAAGCTCAAATTAGCACACGCAAAAAAGCATCTAAAAAGTAGCCGAAAAGGCAGAAAAGAAGCTTTACTTACGAGAAGGAAGTGGAAAGAGCTGAAATGAGCTCAAAAATGTAGAATTGGCTGAAAAAAGCTCAAATTTGCATAAAAACAGCTAAATACTGAAATAGCAGCAAAAAGCTGAAACGGCTGAAATTACCTAAAAATGTTCTAAAAAGGTAGCTGAAAAAGTAGAACAAGCTTAAGTTAGCAGAAGAAAGTAGAAAGAATTCATGTTTGCCCAATAAGGCTGAAAGAAACAAAAATGAGCACACAAAGTAGAAATTATCTGAAAAAAGCTGAAATTGGAAAAAAATAAACATGCTGAATAGTAGCTAAAAGGCAGAAAGAAGCTGAAATTAGAATAAACACTGATGAAAAGTAGCTAAAAGGCAGAAAGAAGCTGAAATTAGAATAAACACTGATGAAAAGTAGCTAAAAGGCAGAAAGAAGCTGAAATTACAAGAAGGAAGTGTAGAGTGCACATTTTTGCTGAACTAGGTAGAAAAAAGAAGAAATGAGTGCAAAAAATGTGGAATTAGCTGAAAAAGCTTAAATTAGCATAAAACAGCTATATAATAGTTGAAATAGTAGAAAAAGCTGAAATTTGCAGAAATAAGCTGAAGGGAGTATAACAAGCTGAAATAAATTAGAAGAAGCACAAAAATGTTGTAGTTAGCTGAAAGAATCTGAAAGGAGCACAAAACAGTTAAAAAACAGCCAAAATTAGCTGAAAATGACTGAATTTTTTTTATTTGCAGAAGGAAGCTGAAAGAAGCTGAAGCAGAACAAAATGTGAAAGGAGCAGTAAAAGGTTGTAAACAGATCTAAAAAGTTGAAGGATGGAAAATGAGCTCAATTCATTTTCTATGAGAAAAAATGGTAGCAAAGGCTAAATATTGAAAAAAGCTAAAGTTGCACCAATACCAAAAGTCATAGCACCCTTCTCCTGCACGAGCTGAAGGTTTCATTTATGATTTGTTGAAATTACTTGAAAACTGCAGGACAAGAAACACGCCAAAAAACATATGAAAGAAAAAAAGGATCATTAGTGTGAATGCTTCATGAGCGTTCACACAGCTAATGTTTTTCTAGACAAGAGTTTAAAAAAAACTCAAAATCATGAAGAGAAACATCACATTGCCTTGCCAAGAATCCACCTTAAAGAAGCAACTTGTATAAAGACGAAGCAAGGCCATAAATGTTTGTTTTGCTTTTGGTAACCTCCACCCCATGTGGGAAATGACTGAAACAAATATTTTGTCCAGCAACAAACACATCAGAGGGGTTAGACGAGGAAAAATAACTTTAGCCAAGAAGCATCAGTCGCATCAGGTGGACCTGAAGGTTGAATTAGACATAAAAACTTAGTGGAGTTCAACGGATCCTAAACTTTTTTTTTTTTTCATCAAACTGAAATACTTCCACACAAACTGTTCGGGTTGTTTTGTTCTCAAACAAGTTTTCTTCATAATCATACACCCAAGAAAAATGTGTTTATGTTTAAAATGCCATTTTAACGCATCACTGCCAAGATTTATTGGAAAAACAACATTCTAACTCAAATCTGGAAGACATTTTTGATTTTCAGCAGGATGTTACCAACGAACATGAAAAGCTAAATTCCTTTGTAGTGCACGGAAG